TGGGATCGAGTCCCACATCGGGCTCTCTGCTCCTTGGGAGCCTGCTTCTCCCTCTGCCTCTCTCTCTCTGTCTCTCATGAATAAATAAATAAAATCTTTAAAAAAAAAAAAAAAAGAATAGGGTGGATATGGGAGGTCTAGAATCTAGGAAGCCCAGGATATCACAGGGCCTCTGGTACTACATGGATCCGTGTTACAAAGCCCAGGATTTGCTGAGGTTGCTTATTTTGAGCAAAGAAGAGGAACCAATGAGCCCAAGGGCTTGGGACCTATCAGAGCCATTATTATGGAGTAGATAATTCTGTTGAACATCTGTAACCCCAATAGTGTGCAATTCAATATTCACCTAATTGTATAAAAATGCGGATGCCATGAAACATAGCCATGTATGTATCACATATCAGTCACACATGTCATATGAAAGTTAAAGAAGCCTTTTTCCCCTGAAAAGTTCCCTCCAACAGATGTGTTTATGCCTCTGCATATAATAGAGCGCACAGCAGGGCCGAGAGGCTGTTATCTCAGCATTATATCTCCCCTGACTGTCGTGAAGTAATGTTGTAACGTCCAAAGAGAGGCTGGCTGGTTGCAAGTGCATCAGCCAGCACATGCAGTTTCAGTGGCTGCTTTACGCAAGGGGTGAAACGTGGGAGCGCAGGGCACGACCACAGGAGCTCTTGAACAGATGGGGGAGCTCCTGGGTCCTCATCGGGGCTGGTATGTCAAGTGGCAACACTACAGTCATGGTACCAGCAGTCATTCTTTGGAGGACGCCTGAGAACTTGAGTGCAAAGACAGTTGAAAAAAGGGTGCGAGTTTTTCCCACAAGCCACCACGGCTATCAGTTACTTATTCCCCTCAGATAAGGACAAGTACACCGGCCCTCACCATTATAAGGAAAATGACAAGGAGAGAAACACTGATTTCAAAGTAATACTATTGGTGCTTTTACACAGGGCTGGTTTCGAGTTGACCACTCTTTTCAAATCAAATGAAGAATCAATATTCTTAAGTGGTTTATATGATTTATAGGACTTTTTACCTCCTCCAAGGTGCCCTGGAAGAGGTAAAAGGTTCCTCCCCAAAGATGAGGACTACCTGACGGAAAAGGGAGATAAATATACTAAAAACAAACCTAGAGCCAAGTTCACCTCAATTTTCCAGGAAGATCGTAAAGAGAACGTCACTTAAAGATGCCAATCTATCTGGTATAGAGGAAATCACAACTGTGGACTAGAACGCAGAATGAGAGTCACTGAGGAAGCTCTTGAACTCAGTGTCAAAGGAGAACATTAGGTTGTCAACCTCGTAGATAAGATCTGCAGGACACAGAAATGCCTGCTTGCTCTTAAATCTACCTGCTTATCTGAAATGTCTATGCTAAGGCCCTGCTGCTATAAACCCTTGACAAAACGCAAACCTGTTACCTAAAAAGGATGCCACTTCAAACCAATGCCCCTCCTTAATTCATCAGACCACCTACAGAGGACCACAGAAACTTCTGAAGGCAGAGTTCATGGGCAGGACAGGGGAACACCTAAAGGTCCCTACAAATAACTCTACAACTTTACAGTTTGGGTTCCGTCCAAGGTCTCTTTAATTTACCACGATGACTTTTGAAAGGACAGCAGATAAAGTCACTTACAGAGGTTGCTAATTCGGCTCCCCATTTCATACCTTGTCTCCAAACACAGGGTAAAAGTAAAGACAATCTCAATATGCCCTCCTGAAGTAAATAAGGTGAATCTGATCAGCAGTATCTTATTATACAAGCATGCACAGGAATGGTCAGTGGCCAAACAATTACTCTTTGTTCAATTTCTGTTTTGCTCAAAACCTGTGGAAGGTCCCTGCCAGTAAGTCAGGTTCTGAAATGCTATCAGTGATGCCAATAAGAGGACTAAGCAAATCTTGTTTTCTTCCTACAAGGAACAAATTTTTCTGCTTATCTTCTCAGCCACAGTATTACCAAGCGCTAGAGCCAGTGAATTAAATTTTCAGAAGTGCTTTATAAAATGTGTTGGGGGATGCTTTAAGTGACTTAAGGGATCTGGATCAATTAACAATTGGGAATTGCAGAGACAGGGGGAAAAAAAAGCCCTTACACGTCACCCTCTCCTCTCCTTTTTTAAGCATCTTCTTCACTCACTCATAAGCAAGTATTTATTCGGGATGCTTGCTCTATTCAAGACAATATCTAAAGGATCAGCTCTTCTTAGGGAAATCTAAGGTGAAACTGTCAGTCACATCCGTGTTCTGATTTTAAATACAAGATTTGTCTCTAGAAAGCCTCCATTGCCATTTCATTCTGTTATATAACCAGTAAGCAACTGGGTTCAAAATTTTAGATGAACTTTGCTTTTCGGAACCTCTTGGGAACATAAATTAACCACATTTATCAAGGAGGTCCTGAAAAACAGAACTGCTAAATTTAAAGTTTGAGAACTCATTTGGAGCCGACCTGGTTCCTGGCACTGGGCTAGATTTTATCTGCTTCGCTGACCTCTAGGAATCCCGCTCAACTGATCCGAGGTCCAATATCTCAGGGCTGAATTAGGGTGAACGTACGCACACACCGCGACCCTGCACACCGCTCGCCCCAAGCCCCGCCGCGCACCCGCTCCCGGGGCCTCTCTCGACCACCCGGCTCTTCCAAACGGGGCACGCCAAGTGGAGACCCGTTCCCGCTTTTCTCGCTAGAGGGCAGACGGGGCCCGTGCAAAGCCCTCCTGGCGCCGAAGGAACGCGCACCCAACCTCGGCTCCCGCACTCCGGACCGGCTCCCGGGCTGGGCTCAGCTGCGGGGTTCTAGGAAAAGGCCAAGCCAGGGAGCGCTACGCGACCTGGACGCTCGGAGGGCGTGGGGCGCGCCTGCCGCCCCCAACCCTACGCGCGGGGTGCGGGCACCCGGGTGGGGCTGGGCGCCCAGGTGAGGTGCGGCCCCACCGAGGGCGAGAATCTCCCGGCTCGGCGGACGCCCGGGAGCAGCGCCAGGCGCCACGAGCGTAGGGCGCGGGCGGACGAGGGAGAGGCGACCGCAGAGGAGGAGGAGGATCGTGGAGCCGGGCCGCGCTGCGCACTCACCTGGGCTCGGGCCGCCCGCCGGGAGCGCGGGCTTCTTGCCGGAGCCTCGGTCCTTCTTGCCCTTCCCCTTGCCTCTGCCTTCTTTGCGCTCGGACATCTCGCCCGAGAAATGCACGCTCTACGCGGACCGCTCCTGGCGAAGGCGACGCGCCACAAGTTTGGTCCGAGGGCTTGGATCGGGTTTGGGAAAAGTTTGTCCCTCGAGGGGGAGAGCGCGCGGCCGAGCTGCGGCACTGGCGCGGCGCGGGGGCGTCTCCTGTCGCCTGTGGGGAGCGGCGCGGACGCGGCGTGCGGTCTGGGCCACCTGGGGCTGGCGGTCGCTCCTTCAGCCGGTCGCCCTCGCTCTCGGGGCTGCTCCTGTCGCCCAGGGAAGTCCTCGGTTCCCGCCGCGCTGGGTCCCGCCGCTGTCGGCTCCGGTGGTGGCGTCCGCCCGGCGCGCTCGCAGCCCGAGGAGGGAGAGACGTTCACCGTCCTGCCGGCGCTCCCATCGCCCAGGCAGCCGCCGCCGCTCAGCTCCTGCCCTCCGCGCGAGCCCGGAGTTCCGACAAGTTTTGGGGAACTCCTCGCCGGCTCTTTTTCAATTGCCCCACAGCCACCCACCCCCCGCCCGCAGGTTGGAGACTGGCGCCTCCTTCTCCCCCTCCCCTTGCCTCGCCCCCTCCCTCTTCCCCACCACACCCCCACCCCGAGGCGCGGACACGCCACCGGGAGGAGCCTGGGCTCGGCGCTCCCGGGCGCAGCCCCTTTCCCTCCCCGAGCCTGGCCGGGCGGGGGGCGGCGGCGCGCGGAGCGGCTGCCGGGAACCCCCGACAGGGGTCGCTGGAAGCTGCGCGGAGACGCCGCCGCCGGCAGCAGCGCCGCTGCGGTCCCGGGAAGCGAACCGAGCGGCCCCGGGAGATTCAAAGACCGAGGAAGGGATCCAGGGACTCCTCGCTCTCCTCCGCTGCCAGGAAGCCCCGAAGGGCTCCGCCGTTCCCTACAATGCGGAGAGACGTTGGAGAAAAACGTTTGGAATTCTGACACCTGCGCCCCCCCCCCCCCCGGCTCCATTAAGGCTCTGAAACCCTCGGGAAGGAGAGGAACTTTCGCAGTTTTTCCAGGAGTTTGGGGTTCATTCCTTTCTTACTTTAGTGAAAGTCCCGCACGCGCGTAGGGCAAAGACAAACTGTGTGCAAGGAATTTGAGTGTAAGACTGTTCCAGGTACACAGGAAGGGCTCAGAGAACCTTAAAGATGGTCAGATCGCACTGTCTTCCCAGATTTGCTCCTTGAATGTGTGTGTATCCTGCCTTCGTGTGTTGAACAACGTGCCTGTCATAATTCTCATCGTTAGTTTTTATTTTAAGATTTTATTTATTTATTTGACAGAGAGCGAGAGCAAGAACACAAGCAGGGGGAGCGGGAGAGGGAGAAGCAGGCTTCCCGCCCCATGTCGGGCTAGATCCCAGGACCCTGGGATCATGACCTGAGCGGAAGGCAGACGCTTAACGACTGAGCCACCCAGGCACCCCTCATCGTTAGCTTTTTAAAAAATAAATAGCTATAATCTAACCTCTTCAGAGAGGGTGTCCTAAACTCTCTCTCTCACTACAACTTGATTTTCAAAGGAACTAATAAAACCCGGGTTAAAAGGCGATCAACAATAAAATTACTGCAATAGCTGGGGGGATGGGGGGTGGTCAGTCAGTTCCTACCGAGTGAGAAAGCAAGCAGGGAGAGGTAGAGTTGGGCTAGAGCTCTTTAATTCATTAACGCTAGCTTTGTCGGATTCAAACTTTCCTCGGAACTGCGGGTGAAACCTACTTCTCCTTCCCTTGTCCTCCCTCTGGTGGAGAATTCTAAAGAGCAGTGAATCGAGAAAACGTTGGCACCCTGCTGCAAAGGACAAAAGTTAGAGGCCAGAGTAATCCACACACGGAATGATCCAGAATCATGTAAAGAACACATCCTCCTAGTTATATCACAGCTGTGGCTAACTTAGAATGTTAATTTACAGTGATAGACTCCGGTTGTGGTCAGGAAGAGCTGAACACGAACAACCATATATGAAATTTACTTCTCGTTACAAGTGACTTGTTCCTGATTTTCCTTTCTCTGGAGCTCATGCTAACCGAAGCATTACATGCTTACAGACTTCTCGATATATACTGTAATTGCCACCATTTAAATAAAGATGAAATCTGGGGTGCCTCCTTGCTATATATGTGGGAAAGGAGGGGGGCAAAAACATTCATTTTAAAACAGCCCTAAAATAATAATTTTATTCTTGTTTAATCTTCAGGGTAATAACTGCTGAGAGATATTTTAGCAGTAATGCCATCATAATTTATTTTGAAAAAGTCTGATGTCCAAGTATCTTCTGGTGACCCTTCAACAAACACCAAATATAAATTTTGCTAGGCTATAAAAACAGCGAAATCAGGGGAAAGATTATGAATAAACCTGAATAGCACTGTAATATTCCACAGAGTCTAATGTAAAATGAAATCTGAATGTTGGCTGAAATAGCTCTGTTTTCCCAGGAGGGGCCACTGCTCAACAAGCAGGAAACAGCAAAATTCAGAAAAAGGGAACCCTTTCAAAAAAAGGTACTTTTTCTCCAAGATATAAGACCCTTTACAGGCTTTACAGTAGATAAATGTTATCAAATGTATCATTATTTTAGAATTGAAGAATATAAAACAAAAATGTATTTTGGAATAAAAAGTTTCAGGTCTTTCCAAATTAAACAGGAAGGCAGTAGTAAAAACCCATACCTATGGAATTATTATCAGTCAGCTTTGTTTGGGGTCTAGATGATTTACTTTTCAAAACAGCTTACTAATTCCTTATTACAGTAATTTTGCCATGAGGATAAGGGAAGAGCCTACAACTTTGTGATAGTTTTCCATTTGAAGGAATCTATAGTACTAGTGGACAGTTTTTCCAAACTAAGGATGAAGGACTAAAGATTGTTGATATTGCAGTTTTATAATAAAACATGGTGGCCACTAAGCAGTAGCAGGATTCCTATGGAAATACTCAGGCCTGGGGAATGAGGGGATATAAAGGGAGGAAGCTGGGTATAAGTGAGCCGGCAATAATTGTTCTTTTTTGGTTTGATATGCTAGAGAGAAAAAAAAAAGGACAAAAATTGCAATGATAAATGTTGAAAGAACATTTAAGAAAGATGATGAAGGGGCAGTTGGATGACAGGGCTTCCTGGGACTACGTTCGGATTCTGGAGTAATATTTAGTTGTCAGTTGCAGCTGAATTGTCAGAAAATTTATGACAGAATCCAAAACTTTTTTTCTACTAATACATTGTTTAAATATGTCTTTATCCTTTATGTTATTTAATGTTAATTTTTTGAGGGTTATTTTATTCCATTATTTATGATTAGGTAAAATATTAACCAAATAAAAGTCCATTTCTTTGATAATTAAAATATTTATGAGATTTTTCAAGAGCTTGAGATTGTCCTTAAATTATTCATCTCTATGGTCAGGAAGTGGCAAATGATTTTCTGTGGTGTTTTTTTTGTTGTTGTTTGGTTTGGTTTTTTCCTTTTAAAAAAACCTTGGAAATGATCAGAAAAAGGGGATGGATAAAGGAAGAAGAATATTTTTGCTTCCTTGAAGACCAAAATATGAACCTGAATTGTATAATTTAGAAATGATGACATATCTTCATGGTATAATTTTCCTAATTTATTATGTATTGTTTAGCTCCTAGAGTATATATCATAGAGGGTTTAGCAGCTCTCAAGCAACATATGTCAATCTGTCAACATTTGTCAACTCCTGAAAAATAGAGTGGAGATTTATAAATAAGCAACTTGAGAAATAAAGACAACATGGAGATCTTATATTAAATGACAGCTTAAAATAAATGCAATCCTGTGCCATAACATTTTTCTTTGGCAAGGCTTACCTTTTAGAAGCACTCTTAGAATCTACAAAGCTAATCAAATATGCCCTTTATCTCAGTAATTCCCATTTGGAAAATACCCCAAGAAAATTCTTAAAAGAAAAAAATAAATAAAATGAAAGGACGTAACATGTGAAGATTGATTGCATTTTTTGCAAAATATGTGCATACTGACAGTAGTGGTAAATTAATTTAGAATTAAATAGGTACTTTTAACTTTTTAAAAATATAGTAACTTAATTACTTTTTTAAAAACTTTGCAACAAAGTTGGCATTAATGAAGATTCATGAATGCAAAAGAAAATCTCACTCATCAGAGTCAGCTCCGAAACAACCACTAAATGTCATGACTTACTCATTCGTCAAGCACCTACTGAACCAAATGCTAGATAGTAGAGAAATAGGGGGGAAAAAAAAAAAAAAAGCTCCTATTCTCATGAAGTTAAAATACTGTGAGAAAGGCATGAAAACAAATTAATTATTAGAATACAAATGAAAAGCAAGGCCAGATAAGTTTTCCACGGCCCAAGACTCATAAAATTTGGGGGCTATTTTTGAAGGGAAAAAAACCCCGTAATATTAAAAATACAAATTTAAGTCCAAGAACATTAAAGGACCCTTGGATGTGAGAGATCTTGAAGAGTAAGTTTCATTAGCTTCATGGTAGCTTCACCTCTTGTGATTGCAAACATTCCACCCTCTGCACCATTATAGTAATGGTAAACAACAATTGCAGACTATCTTAGAGATTAGATACTACTATCCCTATGAATAGGAGGCATTAATAAGCAATCAAAAGGAATACACACAAAACTGAAACAAGCAAAGACGATCATATGAGGAAAATGTGATGAAAGGAGCCTTAAGAATTCAGATTAGCAATTGTCCTGTCTGTTTGGTTAGATTATTAGAATCAATATGCAAGTTGAGTTTGTTAAAGAAAGGGCTCTGACCCACAAGATGCCCTGGCAAGACTGGAAAGCTGTCCTCCATTACCTTTGGCAAATATTTGACAGAATTGCTAACGAATCATATTCTGTCTGCTATGAAGAGAATCAGCTTGGTAACAAAATTGTGAGTTTAGAATCCCCTCAAAAAATGAACAAAAAATGTAAAAACATAATGTTCAAACAACATTAAATAGAATCTACACTTATATTGTTACGCTTATTATGTGATTTTTTTTTAAAAATTGCTATCCACGGATGATTACTGTTGTTATTATTATTTATCATTATTATTAATAAGATTATTCTCATGTATGACAGTAGGGATATATCATATATTGAAAAGGGATTATATAGCTGAATACTAGTGCCTAATTTCTTTTTATGGACTCTATTTGATAA